CCTAGTAACAGCTGTACACAAAAGCTGCGCAGCTCTCATAAACGCTACTTTATCAGGCTGTATTCAGGCATTACAATTTAGATGAGATGAAAATGACATTGAACGTTTGAGAAACGCCCCCTTTTTGGTCCACAGAGACCTATGTTGTGGTTTTTGACTTGTTATAATATTTTCGGAATTGTTGTTGTGTTTTCTGAATTGTTATTTTGTTTTTTAAATCGGCTTTATATCGGCCATCGGCCACCCTACATTCAAAGATATCGGCATCGGCTGTCAAAAAAACAATATCGGTCGACCACTATTTGAGATTCACCTAATGTGTTTCTTAAGGGGGTGTTTACATAACACACATTTAAAAACAGCTAGGGGGATGCAGTCGGACAAAAAATCTTTTCAAAAAAATAAAAATAAAATAAATTTAGGGTAAAATTTAGATTATTTTTAACGTGACATATCCAAAAAATATTACACAAGTAGGGGTGTAACGCTTCAGATTGCTCACGGTTTGGTTCGGTTCACGGTTTTAGGGTCACGGCTCGGTTTGTGCTATGTTCAGGGAAAAAAGGACTATGGTCAAATAAAAATAAAGAATGCAACAGCACAAATAAATACAATAGAGCAAGGATACAAATAAAATAAACAGTTTTTCAGGCACAGAAATTTAAAAGTAAACAAATGTAAAATAACAGTGCATATTTCACTGTATAAATTAAAGACTAGGGTTGGGAATCGGATACTTGTTGTCAAATTAAAATTTCGATTCTGCCTATCGATTCCTATGCACTTTTTTTCTTCATCTGTGAGGATGTGCGCTTTGCTTGGCCAATTGTTGGGATAAACAGGAAAGTGTGTCCAGCTGAATTCAATTTGAGTTTTGTTAAACTAATTAAAAAGAAGCTTAGTTTACCGCGGAAGCGGTCGTGGTGAGACCGAAGAGTAACACCAATGTGATTCTATTCCTAAATTACAATTATTCGTCTGTTTTATTCCTCAACCTTTGACGTGTACGATCAATGTTGTGATCACTTGGTTCGTCCGTGCAGAGTACGATCACATCAGTGTGATTTGAACATTTAATTTTGCTTTGGCACTGCCGTTGACCTAAAGAGAGCAGCTGTCATCTGTCATGAATGAAACAGCTTCACAGTCTTTTCAACCACACAGTATCATTATTTCTGTGTTACAAACATTCAAATCACAGAAGTACTGGGATAAAAGTTTATAGTTCAGATATAAACTGTGTGTAAGATGTGTATGGTAGCGATTAAAATAGAGTAAATCACCTTTTGAGAGTAATTTGACACTTCAAATCAAGATTTGTCGATTACATTGTTAAGCCAGTAGGTGGCGAAAAGGGGCTGTTAAAATTTATTTGTCTTTGAATCACACAAGAGATTCGTTCAAGACCGCTGATTTATCCGGTAATGAAACAAGTACATCTTGAGTGAGTCACTGAATCATTTATTCATAAATTACATGTGATTTTGTTTAGTTGTCTAATGTTTTTTCTTCAGAATCATGAGAGAACCACAACTTCTATTGGGGGGAAAACTCAATCTATCCAGAATAATGCAGTTCTATTTTGCACACAAACAGCTCTTAGAGTCCAGTTTTTTGTAGCCTGTTGATTTTTGTTCATGGTATTCATCTCCAATAAATGGTTTGCAAAAATAACCAACTCTATTAAAAACCAATCCTTGTTGAAGTTACAAAAATATTCAATCAAGAGAAGTGAGTGATTTCCTTGTCTTTTGTTGTTTAAGAATAGACAAGAATAGACTGCTGTTCCTTTAAGACATAATTTACAGATCCAGTACACTGATACTGATACACATGCGTTGTCTTTCTCGACTCTTTACATTCCCTTAAGACGTGACCAATGATGTTTGCAAGGATACTCACAAAGACGGGCATGTTGATTTTTTTGTGTTAGTTTGTGAGTTCAAACGCAAGTCTTAAAAGAGAAATTAATATTTGCTCTCGCTACAGATGAGTACGCACACACACACACATACACACATCTTCAAACAGCATGCGCGAGTTCTCAAGCACTTATTCTTTGCTTAAATGTTTCAATTGACAAGGCTTAAAAACACACGCAAATGAGTATAGTTTAAACACAGATAGTGTGTGCTGTTTATGTCTCACCTGCGCTCGTGCACTTTCAACACCCGGGTGAGGAAGGCGTAAATGACTGGTATACTACTGTGCATACGGCATTCCGTATTGTTTGTCCAAGTTTTTTGATCATTGCTGTTGTAATGTGGGAAGCCAATAGGTCTGTTTTACGCATTGTTATTTTCAACAAACCATATTCTACATGCATCGTCAGATTTGAAATGAGCCGTGGTGCAAGTGGGGTCAACCTCAAGTGGGCCAGGGCTGTGGGGGGCGGGGACCGAGCATGGTACGTACCAAGAGTACCGCGATATGTATCGTGGGTGGTGTATCCTGTTTTTCCGGTTCGGTTTGAATATAGTTACACCCCTGTAAGTAATACATCTTCCAACAATGAATCTACATGTCAATATTAGTGAGGTTCACATGTCTTTTTATTATTATTATTATTTACATTTACAGATATTATTATTTACATTTACAAATGTTTCTTAAATCAGCATATTAGAATGATTTCTGAACAATCATGTGACACTGAAGACAGGAGTAATGATGCTGAAAATTCAGCTTACAGGAATAAATTGCATTTTAAAATATATTAAAACAGAAACCAATAGGTCTGTTTTACGCATTGTTATTTTCAACAAACCATATTCTACATGCATCGTCAGATTTGAAATGAGCCGTGGTGCAAGTGGGGTCAACCTCAAGTGGGCCAGGGCTGTGGGGGGCGGGGACCGAGCATGGTACGTACCAAGAGTACCGCGATATGTATCGTGGGTGGTGTATCCTGTTTTTCCGGTTCGGTTTGAATATAGTTACACCCCTGTAAGTAATACATCTTCCAACAATGAATCTACATGTCAATATTAGTGAGGTTCACATGTCTTTTTATTATTATTATTATTTACATTTACAGATATTATTATTTACATTTACAAATGTTTCTTAAATCAGCATATTAGAATGATTTCTGAACAATCATGTGACACTGAAGACAGGAGTAATGATGCTGAAAATTCAGCTTACAGGAATAAATTGCATTTTAAAATATATTAAAACAGAAAACAGTTCATTTAAGGTGTAATAATATTTCGTAATATAACTATTTTTACTGTCTTTTTGATCAAATAAATGCATCCTTGGTAAGCACAAGAGACCTCCTTCAAAAGCATAAAAAAACATTACCGATCCCAAACTTTTGAATGGTATTGTCTGTGTTTATGTAAAATACAGATAAATTAGCCAACTTTACTAATATTGTCTATAGTGGGTCATTAGAAGTCAATTAGTTGATCCACTATCCTGACCAGGCCAGCTTTCTCAGGCAACATCTGTTTCCTGTTTTGATAAGTTTCCTCAATGATCCTTCTCCATAGCTTAGTGTCCAGCCATTTTACTGTTATTTATAATATGGAGGATTTCTGTCAGTCTCAAGATTGAAGTTGAGTGCGAGAGTGTGTGCCGTGTTGTTGTTGTTGTTGTTGTTGTTGAGACTGTGTATTCATTTGCACCCACTCTCTCCTGTCAGACAACACCAGCTCCAGTAATGCCAACCACATGCCATTTGACATTTGTCTTGAAGCAGAAGTTTGGCAGGTAGGTTACTGCATTATTCATGTCTTCATGCAGTCAATCAATGTTGGGATGCAGACTGCCTGTTCAGCATATTTTCACAAGTTTCTAAATGTATCAGTGTTTCGATATTAGTCATCTTTGCAATGAAAGGCATGTTACTCAATTCATGCACTGGGAAAACTCACCCGTCCAGCTCTATTTCAGAGAAAGGCGGAGAAAAACCTCTCAGCAAGGGACTAAAACATCTTCTGGGCAACAACAACTACGTTTCAATAATGGTAATTATTCACTATTACTGCAACAGTCAACAACCAAATCATCTTGACAACTGAGCGCACTGATGATTCGTAGTGTTTTCCATGTACATTTAAACATTAAGAGCAATTACAAACAGTCCTCCATATGTATTTAGCTAATTAAGGATGCTTTCACGTGTGCTTATGAAAGCAGAGAGTCTCATCTATCTTTCACTGAAGCTGAACAAAATGATTGGAACTGGTGTACATTTGCACAACCCACATACTGCCTTGCCTGCATCACCATAGTAACCAAGACGAATGCCAAAGCACCGACATTTCATCTGGTACAGGCAGGCGGAAGGTCAGGACTATGAGGAGGTGAGGGGGGCAAAGTTCTGCCCAACCACAGCCAGTAAACAAACATCTCTAAGCCATCCACCCTGTAATCACGCCACTTAGTGTGCGGGGCTGCGCATAATCTAAACTACGAGTGTTGAGCTGAGGTTATGAAAACATCTTGAGATATTTGTCACAGCTGTAACTTAACTCATTTTCTGACAGCATGCCATATGGAGAGAGGGTGTGAGACTAGCGCACAGTAGAGGCTTCATCTGTTTATATGGAGAAATCTGTGAAACACTGTGCCGTACTCTTGGGAGTGACCTTTTTTTTTTCAGCCCAGTAAGGGGTTCGGGAGCAAGAACATTTCTTAAAGGCTATGTGACCATTTGATCTTGGGTCACGTGGAGGTCTGTTTATCGGGAGTGTCTGATATCATGATTTGGCAGGGGATGAGTGGTGTGTGCTCTAGTGTTAATGACTACAGCTCAGGTGTTGGTCTGGGAGCAGCGGCTTGACGTGACCTTCCCCTCTTGATTTAAAACAGCTGAAGGAGTGAGGTATAGTACACATAAACAAACATCTACAAAGGGTGTTGCAGGTACTTACCGAAGTATACAGGTAGCCCTCGCTGTTCATGGCCAGATAGAGTTTGGTCTGAACTCCCTGGATGGCCACCACTCGCAAGCCCACTGGGATGAGGTTAAACATGGCTGTACAGGAAACAAAGAAAAGTCACAATTATATTCGCAAACATTTATGCCTAAGTACAGCTAATTGATTAAGATATCACTATCATGTGTGTTGTATAGTAATTTATAATGGGAAAATAAATAAATGATATTAGGGAGAGTGAAAATCAAGCAAACCTGGAGCATTTTACATTCACAAAACACACAATAGCTACATGGTTCAAGTTCATTTGAAGTGTTCACATACAAGGCAAATTTTTGCATCCCTCCCCAAAACTAATAAAGTGTCACCCAGAGACAGGCATAATGCAAAAAACGCAAGCAGCATGAGTCTGAGAATGCAGATGTGCACGCTTACGTTTCTTATCAGCATCATGTCAGCCGCGCTGACATTCTGTCCACTCACATACACTTCATCAACACAGTGTCGGCCTCACCAGAATCCACAAAGATCATTAACACTCAAGTACAAACACCCTAGAAATGCTTTAGCAACTTACAAACTTACAAAAACCCTTGCCCAGAACTTCTTAGCAACCACCTAGCAACAGCTTAGAATGCCCTAGCAACAAGCTAGCATCTAACTGACTGTCTTTGTTATTTGTCTAATGACTGTATGGACTGTAAAAGCTTCAAGCCAACATCGAATTTTACATAACTACACATAGTTGGGTATTATTTTTCCTCAACCAGATGGCCTTGATTATGTCAGTAGAAAGGTTGTTTCAGAGGCAGAAATTGCTTTTTTTTAGCTTTAAGATTATGATTTAGTTTTTTAAATAATGCATTGTTCTGTGGAAATGTCATTTTATTTAAAGCTAAAATAAAATAAAACTTAAGCTTAAAAACCTAAACGACACCGTAGAAATGTTGCTTGGCAGCTAACTGAAATAAATATGTTGTAGTACTAAAATAGCTAAAACTGAAATAAAAAGATATATATATATATATATATATATATATATATATATATTATTTTGCTCAATTTACAAACACACAATTAAAATATCAAGGTGCAGTTTTAGATTTTTCCCCCCATTGAAAATGATACAGTTTAGCAATGCTAGATAAATAAACGTCAATTTGTCACTTTTTCAAAACTCATGGAACAAATGGAAAACATTCTGAATAGGGGTGTCAAACAATTAATTGCATCCAAAATAAAAAGATATATATATATATATATATATATAAAAGTACACGCATATATTTTAGTTATAACTTTTATTTTGGATGCAATTAATCAGCCCTAATTCTGCACTGTATAGTAATCAGTTTACGGATAAGGACAAAAAACTATATTTCATTACTACTTTAAAACTAAAACTAAGTGCTTTCACAGATGAAGGAGAAAAAGGAGATATATATATATATATATATAAACCAATAATAATGACAACAGCACATAACATTACTAAAACTTAAACTAAAATTAAGATGACAACTTAAAATGTAAAAATAAAAGTTAATTCAAAATAATAAATATTACAGTAGTATATAAATAATTTTTTATCGGAAACAGTTTCTACACATTTTACTTCATTTTTAAATCCTGATCTATTTCCTAGTGTATTAGAGTTAAATTCAGTTCACTTTAACCTGATTTATTCTTATCTATATGCGGCAGCATTTCACCTCCCTCCCTGATACTTGTGTGTTACGTTTTCTTTGAACTGCTGCCTCTTTTAACATAGTTCCTCTTTTTCCCTTTCACACACGCTCTCTTTCTCTCTCTCTCTGTCTGTTTCACACTCTTCCCTCTGTCTCTTTCACACATTCTCTCTCTGTTGAGCAGAGTTTGTGAGCTGTGCGGGGCTCTGTCTTTCTGGGACCACTGGCTGTGCCAACTCTCCTCACACCTTTGTCCCCCCTGTCACCACGTAAGCCATAAAGCTGACAATCTTTCCCATCCACACAGCCTCTTTCTGCCAGTGGGAAGAGTGAAGCAGCCAGCCAGCCACCCCTGACACTGAGAGTTTCTGAGGAACATAAGCTTGGGAAGAAAAAACAAGCTTTTTGAAAGAAAAAAATGTGTGAGCCATTTCACCGCGTATGTAACCTAGCTTGATTACAAAAACAAGAAGGAAACAAACTTGCTGTAAAGTAAACGGCTGCTTTCTTTCAAGACAGAGTGCGTATGAGCTAACAGAGAAAAATGCAGACAGAAGTTAGATTAGAAAATGTATACTGCCTTCATATGGAAATCATACTAGATACAAGTACAATATTTTGTGCTTCAGGAATATACACTCACATCATCTAACATAATATCCCTGCTTCATTTCTTTAAAAGTTAGGTGTATAAATATGACAATTCTGTCATCATTTACTCACACTCGTGCTTTTTTCTTCTAAAGTTATATGGCAGCTTTGTGACAAACAAACTGAAATTTGTAACAAATTTAACAGACTGATCAACTAAACATTTAAATATTATGTAATTCATTTATTTTTAAAGGGTTAGTGCACCAAAAAATTACAACTGTCATCACTCACCCTCAAACCCATAAGATTTTTATTTATCTTCAAAACAAAAATTAAGATATTTTTACAGAGACCCGATAGATATGTCCCTCCACTGAAATTCCATTCTACCAAAACGTTGACACTTCAAAAAGTTCATAAAGAGATTGTAAAAGAAAACCATATGAATCGAGCCAAACTGGTCCAAGTCTTCTGAAGAGGTATGATCACTTCATATTTTGAATGCTCATATATACATTGAGCACATCAAATATGGTAAATGGAAATCTCAAACATGCATGCTTGGGTTTTATATGGAGTCTTATGGGTTTGAAGTGAAATGGTGTATAACCGATGACAGAATTTTTTTTTTTGTGTGAACTATCCTTTTAAAATGAAAATTTGTCAGTATTTACACACTCTCATGTAATTTCAAAAAATCTGGGTGAGCAAATTTGGGTGACCTATCCCTTTAACTCAATCTATGTTCCTGCTCCCTCACCCTCCAGAGAGAACATAAACAGAACCCATTTCGGCCTTTCATCATAAACATGAGATCTCTTGATTAATATTTCTTATTTCCTGCAGAGCTCAATCGATGGCCATGTCCGGAATGCTCTCCATCCCCTCTAATCCCACATCAAGGCCCTTCCTCTACCCTCTGACACCAGTCAGGTCCACCTGTAGAGATCAGCCTTCTTCCTGCTCTGTAGTCTATGGCCACTGACTCATATGAAGAGTATTTAGATGCCATATGCAAATGCTTCAATAAGCTATTGATTCTATTTGTATGATAGAAGATATGTTTTTTTATATCTTCATCTTTTTTGTGGCATACACACTTGGGCAGTAACGAGTAGACCTCATTTCAGAGGGATTACCAGAGCTTGGCTGCTGGGGGTTGTGGAGACGAGATTCAATTACTCACACCTAATAGAGCACCTGAGCACAGAGTTCTGGGAAGATCAAGAGGGCACGATAATCATCTCTACAAAAAGGCCAATATAATAACCATCAGAATTCAGTAAAGAGTCTCTCCTACAGTCCCAATCACTGAAAACATGGGTGAGAAGACTTCCTGTTCACTCAGCATAACATATAAAGGATTAGTTCGGCCAAAAATTAAAATTCTGTCATCATTTACTTCATCAAAACATGTATTTCGCCTCTTCTGTTCTCAAGCTTTAAAAATGTCACACAAGTAGTCCACATAACTCTTTTTCTTCTTAAGTTTCATAGCACGTTTTCTTCTAAAGTTATATGACAGCTCTGTGACAAACAGACCACATTTTAAGTCAAACTTTAACACACAGATCATCTAAGCTTCATAAAGTTTAGAAAGCAATGTAATCCATATACATTGAGCAGTTTAATTAAGTCTTCCGAAGAGACACAATAGATTTAAATGATCAACAGATTTAATTTAGACTTTTATTTATATATAAATATCAGCGCACAAACATAGAACTCATCAGATATGGTAAACGGAAGCTCAAATGTGCTTGTTGGATGTTTTTTTTTTTGTGCACAGCAAGTATGGCTGAGTTGTTAGTTTTCATTAAAAATACCTTTATTTGTGTCTAAAAGATGAAAAAAGTCTTATAGTTTTGGAAGGACATGAGGGTGAGTAAATGATGGCAGAATTTTCATTCCCTTTAAATCTTATTACTAAAGGAATTTAGATGTTTTAATTCTGGTGGTGTGTCTGGATGCCTGGATAAAACTGTACAGTAAAACTGATGTTAAAATTTCAGTTTATTATATCTGGAGACAAATCAGACTGATTAGAATAAAACTGTGACTGACTGAAACACACATCAGCCCACTCTACAGACGGAAGGCAAGTTAGCAGAGATGTTAATGTTGACGGAGAGAAAGGCCTCCTGCCAAGACACATTGATTAGGAATTGAATTAAGCTGTAAAACTCTGCACAAAGAGACATAATCCAATAGAGCAGCCATACCTGACATTTACTGCCCAGAATGAGCTTTTGTCTTGTTCCTCCAAGAGCACATCACAGTCAGACTTGAGAGATGGAAAGGCTGATTTTCAATAAGGTCTTTATCTTTAAATGTCTGTTTCTCAAGCCCCTTGATCTGCCCAATTTCATCTAATAAAATCAATTTGATTCTATCATTATCAAATGGGAATGGGACCTTCTCATTCTGGCTGTCATTCTCACATATATAGGAATAAACAAAACAATTTATAGATTTTTGCATGTTTTTTGACTGAATGTTCCTGTCAAGTCTACAATCTTCAAGTCTACAAGAGTAAGAAGATATATTTACTTATTTATTTATAACACCATGGCATGACACACTCACACACACACACACACACACACACACACACACACACACACACACACACACCACAAGAGGAGAGCCAAGAGGACTGCACTGCCGTCGCTATGGAGACAAGGGCACCAAGCTCCTAACAATTCTATTTTTGTAGCGTGAGAGATAGAAGCTCCCTGTTTTCCCACTTCTCCTCTCCAGCAACAGCTTTTCATTCTCTCGACAAAATAAGGGAGTGTGGTGGGAAAAGCAGGTCAGCTATTATGTAATCTCACCCCTATATAACTCATTTCACCTCAGTCAATCACGCAGGAGAAGAACACAAACAAGAAAATAAACAAGACGCAGCAAGAGAAGGACTGGCCAACCGCACCAGTGGCGCAGATTCAACTCAAGGGTGAATAAAACACGAATGCTTGAGTCAAACAACCACTATTTAAATTCAAGCAGGGGGTGTTATTTCAATTAGCACGTCTTCATGTTAAACATTGTTTATGTGCACTTGACACAAATTTATGTTAATCTAGATGAGCTTGATGGATGAGAGGATTTGGAGACTCCAGTGATCACAGTTCCAAATGAATTTACAGGCCCCAGAATGCCACAGACACTTAGCGTCATTGAGATATAGCACATATTAAATTAGAGCCCTGCCAACCAGCCAGCCGGCTCTATCCTCGCTCATAGACGCAGCATAGCTCAAACACTTACTGGGTGACGCCGCTCTTGCCTACGGACTAAATAATTCACACTTGCAGGTGCATAGCAAGATTACTTCAAATGAAACAAAATAATCTTTGGTCATAAGGGACAAAAAACATTTTTTTTCAGGCATTATGGACATCTGCCTAAAAATGTTTCTCTTGTACTTGGGCCTTCCAGCTACATTGCCTGTGCTCTCTGAATAATTGTTTTCTGAAAAACAGTGACCACTCCTGCTACATTTTCCATTTCAGGATAATACAGAACTGAGCCTCTTGACTCTTGTGACCAATACAGGAACTGTAAAAGTATTAAAAAGTGAAAAGCAAAGCTGAAGCTGACTGTAAGTGTCAGTATAAGACAGAAATGCAGTCTGAAGGAGCAGTACAGCTGCCCAGGAAACAATAACAACAGCAGCTGTCACTGAAATACGAGTAGACATCCAGTGTCCCCAAAAAAGCATTTGGACACTTAAGTTGCACTTAAAAATGTCTGGATGTCACTGCATTAGATGCAACATATCAAACCAAGTCGCATATGCAAATGATGCAAGACTAGAACTAACTTCACTTTTCGAAGGCATTTTTGCAATTACTTTTTACCAGTTGGTCTTGAGGAGATTTTTAAGGGAAGTATGAAGTTAGTTCCCTTCACTGTCCTAGTTGAGTACCTATGGACATGCTCCACTAACGTTTGGCAACCATAAAGTATCCAAATACTTTTTTATTCTTTATTCAAAACCGTACATTTATTGCTGTATCATTTGAGACCTAAAACGTGTTTGTGAAGCAATATAATTTCATTATTTCTTAAAGGGGTCATATGATGCTGCTAAAAAGAACATTATTTTGTGTATTTGGTGTAATGAAATGTGTTTATGCGGTTTAAGGTTAAAAAAACACATTATTTTCCACATACTGTACATTATTGTTTCTCCTCTATGCCCGCCTTTCTGAATCGCGTAAACACACGTTTTGTTATACAACACAAAAAAATTTATACATGAAAGTCTACAAATATTTTTGGGGGTCACTGTGTCAGTCTATTAATCTTGTACTTCCTTGTTTCCAACTTTGAACCTCAACATGTGTCTTGACAGGTGAAAATTTGAGAACATATACTAAAAGAGGCCAGCTGACTTACTGAAACCACTGTCCTCCTCTTTAGTGCCGTCAATGGTTCCATCTGCTTGGAGCTGCAAATGAAAGCCCTGTCGACTATACAGCTTCGTTACGATCCCCTTCAGCTGGGGCTCTGCAAAGAGACAGAAGATAGAGAGAGAGAACAAGAAAAAGACAGGGTTAAAGAGGCATTGCCACAATGAAAGTGTCAGCGGTTTTAAAGCTCCTGGCTTAGCAAGAGCTTTCCATGGTCTTCAGATTTGAGCCTGCATTACAAACAAGAGATCAGACCACAGTGTCAGAAGAACAGGAACAAAAAAAAGATCTACATGTGGGAATAGTCACCAGAGCCACCACACAGAAAATTGGTGAGAGCTGCAATTTGCAAGGAAGCTGCAGTCTTCTGTCCATGATATGAACGTGAATATGCCAATGCAGAGTAGGGTTGGGTACCGAAACCCGGTACCAATATGGCACCGGTACCTATGTAACCGGTATGTGCTAGAACCGAATCAGAACGCAGATTTCGGTGCCTCATTTCGGTGCCATGCCTGAGCGATCGATTGAAATATTTGTACTCTGGTTCTCCGAAACGGACGTAAGAAGCATCATCACCGGCACCGCATGTGAAAAATAATTTCCCGACTGTGAAATGCAAGTGAACTCAAGTCGGAAAGCTCTAATATTACAAATCCAACAAATCTTTGTAGTAACGAGAGTGTCCATGTTGTTTTTACATTCCAACTTAAAAGCACAACTCGGGAAATGAGAGCATTCGAGGAGCGCGCGAATGTAGCAATTACACTTGCTCTGATGGCAGCAGGTAGCCTTCCGTTAACTAAGCTAAACATGCTTAAATTAAAATGCCTAAAGCTAAACCTCCCTTGTATTCACATTTCTAAACCTGTTGTCCAACAAAAGAGAACATTATAACCTTTTTACTCCACAACACCAGTCAAATGCTTCCTTTTGTGATCTGATGTGGCTTCTTGTCACAGAATGAGGCAGAAAATATGTTCCATAGGCTACTTTAAAAAGAATACATCGATTAGAAATGGATTATAAATATACTTAATTATTATGAAAATACCAGAGATGGCTTAAATAACACAGATAAACGATATTGTCGCAGTCGAGTGTTTGTTTTTGTTTTATCATTCAAAACGTTTATATGTTCTGTTTACTCAATTACAGCTATAATAGCTATGCCTTTGTCCATATAAGGGATTTCCTGGAGGGTCATGAGTTTCGCTGCTTCTGAGACTGGATATGTGGATTTTCTGTGCGAGGGCGCCCTCTGGCGTCCAGTATGAATGAAACAGACATCGTGTGTTTATAGTGCTAATGGTCAATCCATCATTTTTTGGGGAATTTTCATTTATTTATTTTTTAAGTATCGGTTCAAGCACCGTTTAGGCACCGGAACCATTTTAAAAGTATTGATTTGGCACCGGTATCGAAAAAAAAAAAAACGATACCCAACCCTATTATATCACCTTACATAGGTCTGATCTGCATGACTGGAACTAAGAAGCACAACTATACAGGACACAGCTCTCCTGTGCAAAATACCAGATTGCATAAGCAGATCTGTAGTTAATAAGGCTTAGAGAGTCAGTGGATCATGCTATTAACACAGATTAACTTTCATTTATCATAGGAGATTAAAGGGTTAGTTCACCCAAAAATGAAAATTAGACTGTGTTTTACTCACCCTAGAGCCATCCTAGAGCCGACCTCATACGTCATCCGCCCGGAACTGCTTCCATTTACAACAGTGAGCGCAAGCTAGATTAAAGTGATTATTACGTTTTGAATATGGATATTTTTCTTACAAAAATGCATCGATTCGCTGCAGGAGGCCTTTGTTCACCCCACGGAGCCGTGTGAGACACTTTTTTTATGGATGCGCGCTTTTTATTTAACTTCTTTTGGACTGAAGCACTGCAACACCCCCTGACTGCAATGATAGCGCTTGGAATAGCAAGGACAATTTTTAATCTAGCTCCGACTGGATTCGTCTGAAAGAAGAAAATCATATACACCTAGGATGCCTCGGGGGTGAGTAAAACACAGCCTAATTTTCATTTTTGGGTGAACTAACCCTTTAAAAAATATGTGGATCTTAGGTTACTTCTTATAATAAAAACTATTTATGTATAATATAAACAATTTAAAACTTAACACATCCCCTAAATTTCAGTCATGAGAATACAAAGAGAATATGAGTATTTAAAATAAGCCTGTTAGATACAAAATTAAACCAAAATGCATTACTATACAGATGCTATAGTATGGAACAGTATAGATACATTACAACTGGCTGAATAAATGTCTGAATGAGCACAGATTTTATTTCGGGAGGCATCACTCCTCAATATATTAATCATGGGTACGCAAATATGCTTAGGTTCATGTGTGTGTTGGTCCATGTGCATCTGTAAACAAGATTGTTAGGTATGAGACTGTTTAATGAAGACTGAATCACTGCTGCAAACAACTGCCACTCTACACACACAAACTTCCACACTTCTGCTTAGGTGTCACATAAGGGTTATGTAAGATGCTGTCTGGGGAGGGAGGCAAGGTAATTGGGACTATGACAAGCTTGTAAGTAAACAGTTGTGCTGAATGTGTGTGTAGATCTAGATAGATCTAGCTTGCTAGATGTTGAGCTGTTGTCCAAAAATGTGTCAAACAATAACCTTTATAGTTTGCTTTCTATTGTCCCTCTGTCTCTGAAGGGATTACTGACACTGAATCAGTATCAACATCATTGCAACACAGTATCTGCATACAGTATTTTCCCCCTCACAAATTATTTGGTCAAAACGCCTGAAAAGTTCAATAAGGTTGTATAACTGAGTTTGAATGAGATTTCACTATGACATGTGAAAGCACATGCTGGCTGACTTTTAAAAACAGCGTCCTGCTCTATAAACATGGCAAGCACTTTAAAATTCAAAATGCAACATTTTAAAATCCAATATTTTTAAAAGTACAGACGCAAATGCATTTATAATGATGAAGCTGCTGTTACACATACAATAACATATTGAGTCAGGACCCTAAAAACACATCAGACCTGGTCGTCTCCTCCTGCGCTTTTTGGAGCCGAAAAGCTTGACTCTGGAGAAGACACTGAGTCGACTGGGTTTCTCGCATGTTCCTTTGGTTTTGTTCGGACTGCTCACGCAGCGGCAGGCATTTGATTTCTCACGCTCCCTCGCCAGCCTCTTCTGCCGAATAAGGGAGCTGGCGATCGCCGCAGCCATGGCCAGTTTGACGGTGCGACGGACAGCAAAGACTTCAAGAGGACACAATCCGTTTCCCACTTCCTCCACGACACGATTTCTGTATGGAAATCTTTCACTTGACAGCTCACATCCAAGTCTTCATACACCAGTCACCGCCATTGTTCGTTAATGAGAATGACAGATCGGTGGAAAGCAGTTGTAAACTAACACAGCTTTAACACAAAACGCAATTATGTAGTTGACGGTACGCGCATCTCTTCAACGCTCATTTTCTTCGGAGATAAAGTCCTTACACGGCTCTGCATTCATTTGGTTGCAGTCTCACCGCATCTGTTTCCAGATAATGTCACTATCTGGCTATTTCGACTAACAACGGAGATGATGTTCCTCCAGACACCGAGCACAAGTTTCGCATCATCCCACAAAGCCGTCAGTCACAGCACACAGAACAGAGCCATGTGAGAGAAACACCTGTTAGCGAGCGCGATTCATTACTCTTGGGTGCGCGCGCTTTGTGTGTGTGGGTGTGTGAGCTAGAGAGTTTGTTCTCGGTTAATCTTCGGAATCCCTTTGTAATGTAGATACAGACAAATACAACGAGAGCGACAAGTTGCTCGCATGTCTTAATATGAAAGGTGAATCATGGCGGTACAATTCCTAATCGGTTCTTTCGAACAGTTCATTTCAAAGAACCGGTTGAAACGAGTCAGCAATTCTTCTACGTCATTGCGTTGCTACGTTTGTTATTTTGACCAAGTTTAATTAATATGGGTGTTTATTGTAATTTCGTCTGCTCCTTTCCACTACTAAAATAATAACACGTTGTTTATAAAAACGAAATCATTTATTAAATAGACGTTTAGTTTTAGTGAAATGTAAATATATTTCCAGGAGGTTTTATTGGAGTCATTTTGCTAGATTAAAAAAAAAAAGAGAGAGTCAAATCTAAACCCCAAATTATCTTAATATCAACTCACTCAAAAATTCTCGGTTCATTACGAATCTGACATCTTAAAGACTGCAATCCCATTACTATTAAAACAGATTATACTACATTAAAATGGTGTTATTCGATTAAATTACTAATATATTTGTGTTGTGCATTTAATTAATATGTTGATCTGTCCGAGAGAGAGGGTTCTCGGTCAGTGGTTAACTCGAAAATCGCTGTGACCGATTCAAAATCGTTTTAACAGATTCACTGAAAAAAGATTCGAACATCGCTAGTTCGTGAACGGTTCCTACCACAGAGCTGTTTTGGGGCGGTGTGCGGAGAGTGATGTGGAACAACAACAACAACAAGAAAAATTAAGTTGTATTGAAGCACGTAAAATTAGATTAGTCCTGAATGTCTGAGTATCGTTCAGTGTGAACAGCGGGCTGGGTGAACAGCGCGACAGATCGATTTCTAACAGAGAGACGCTTCTCCCGGGGAGACGGTGACACACAAATGTGACAGCTACAAGTGAACTGGAGCTCTTGAAGCTATATAAAATGTTGAGACAGTTACATAGTCTAACATAATGTGCCAGTCATGTGTTTTTCCTTTCCCAAAACTAGGGATGCACCGATACCGATACTGGTATCGGTATCGGGCCCGATACTGGCCTCCTGTACTCGTACTCGTACTCGTTAAAATGCC